GCATTTTGTATGTTTCGCGCGGTATAGCTAATTAATGTTTCGCGTACGTCCTACGTAACATGGCGTTAATTATTCTCGTCCTCGACTATAATAAATTTATCAACAACCGTATATTATTTAAATCGCTTGCTGAAACTAGGTCTTTCGCTCTTGCATTCAGCAGAGTATTACATCAGCTCTCTTTGCCACTCGATGCTCCAACTTTTCATGCATAGATTATTTTTTCCACGCAAGAGATTATTTATATCGCATACTTTATATTTACGCAAGATGTGTCTGTGTACGTGATAATAGAATTTCTCTCCAGGGTATCGAAAAAAAAAAAAAAAAAAAAAAAAAAAAAAAAAATTCACGTAAAAGTGCGATCTCGCGAGTCTCCGCGAGGAGACGCGCGCATTCCCGTAATATCCCGGTGTGCATCGATAATTTTAATTATTTTACTCGGTACAAAAGAAAAATAATCGATCGATCGAGCAGCCGGGACGACGCGCGACGCCCGCTGACGGAAATAGATCTGGCAGTTGCTCTCTACGCCAGTTCCGTCGTCGTGTTCCAGCGGTTGCAAAATTCATACCCGGCCGAGGGCGTCGAAGTTTTCTTAATAACGGAATCCTGAATTCCGGCTGTTTCTCCAAGTAGGTCGTGCTCGGTGCGATTTCCTAGGTCGTATCTCCATTTCCTGCGCGCGCGATTCCTCCGTATCTATCCAACCAGCCTCGCGTATCGGAGTTTCTCCTCGGGGACATAATTTCAAAATAGGGGCTACGTCTTTACAGCGGTGAGGGAGGCGTCCCCCCACCACCTCCCCCGAATTTTAATAAGACGATCGATCGCGCGAATACGCTATTTCGATTGTCTCTACTTGAGTCAATTCGCCTGTTCGTTTTACAGTTGGAGTTTTCCCACCGAAATTTTCGACGTATTTATTATCCTTCAAGAGGAATAAAGAAGCCACGTGTCAGTTTGGGCGCTAAAGTGCCCGCTAAAGTGCACGTGATGGTTCGCGTAAAAGCGCGGATACAGCGACAAAAAGTTCCCTCGTATATCAAGGCGATGACTGCGAAAAAAAAAGGAACGCACCGCGCCACGTCCAGCCGCTATGCGTGGGCGACGAATGAATTCGAGCGATAAAGCTCGCGTAAAACAATCCCTGAGAATCGAGAGAATTTTTCCGGCCAGATGGACGGATAAAATCGATATCGAACCGGTTTGCATATTTAAAGAAAGCGAGATATCAACGTCTGATAACATTATTTTAAATGTTTAGTTAAATATTCACGTTAATGATAACACGGCACATTTCAATACGTGATAATATCGGAAATCTTTACTCGCGTCTAATTAAATGTGATATTTAAATGTAGGTACATATCGAGCTATATTAAAAGACTCATTTAATTGTTTATTTAATGATGTTTCCTCGACTAATTGTATATTATATTTAATATATATATATATATATGTATACATAATAAACTGCAGGACTTAATTATGAATCGCGAGAGGGAATAACAATATTAATTCATCAAGTACGAACTCACATATGAACAAAGAAAAAAAAATGTGAAGGAAAAATTTAAACTCTCTGCTTTTTTTATTTAATTCGGAAAATTAATAATTATTCTGGCGCAATGCAAAATTGTATTAAGGAAATCTCGCTACTTTGCGAAACATCATTAAATATATCGTTATTTCACGGTTAATTGATTCAAAATGTTTCCACCAACTACGATAATACTTGAAATATGATAGTGAATTAAATAGAGATGTCAAATACAGTATTTTCCTGTATGTAACATTCGTATTACACCGTGTGAGTGATCGATATGCTAAAAACACAATCCATTTCATCAGCAGTAACTCGAAATTTGTGAAATGGAAAATTTTTCACATTTTTCGTTTTTAAGCCGATATTTGAGAGATGTATATTGACAAAGTATACGACTGAATAATTTTTAGAATGATCATGATTATAGAGTCATATTTAAAAATATAACTATATCAAACACGCCATAAATGCGATGTACATAAAAATTGACAAAATTAATTAAATATATATTAGAGAGAGAGAAAGAGGGGGAGGAGGAGAGAAAGAAATTATAGCAGACTCTTGTCATCGATATATAAAACATGCGAAAAAGAAAATGTAAGGTGAAAATGGACTCTGTATAAAGTATAGTTAGCAGTGTCACGTGATACCGACTCGCGCCGGTAAAAAGTGTAACCGCAAGGAATGACTTTTTGCAAGCAAGACGGTTAAACGACGAAGAGTCGAACGATCGCCTCGAGGGGGATACGTTTTCGGGTTTTTCTCTTTCGCGCAAAAGTTGACCTTACGCGTTTAAACGGTTCGTTAAGTTGATTCTCCCGGTTAGATTTTCATTTAATTTAACGACAGCGGCGTTTTTCAGTCCCCCGTCCCTTCCTTCCGTCTCTCATACTCTCTCTCTCTCTCTCTTCTTTAGCACTCGATGTCCCCCGGTGACGCTAACGAACGTGTTTGGAATTTTGACAAATTTCGCACTAGTATTTCGCCTTTTGCGCTGGCCCCGCTAACAATGCAAACGTCGTTACTCATCCGTCACACGGTTTTATAGGGAAAGTCGTTTCGTCGCGTTTTTACAGATACGTACCTCCACATTTCGCACACATTTACACGAGACATATGTCGTAAATGTTACGCTTATTCTTCGCAGACTTATTACAGTTAACATTTACCGGGGTATACCTCGTTTCAACGCAACGTGTTGCGCGATACATGCTGTACACGGATGGTACGCGAACGCAGACGGGTTAATTCAACCAAGCGGAACGTTAAGGTGCGCCGATAAGCGTAAAACGACGGTAGCGCGCGATAAAGAGCAGCAGGAAGGAAGACGGAGCGACGAAAAGACGGAGCGCGTTTACTCGATTTCACTCGCGGGATCATCGAAAAACTGTCGCGCGAGCAACGATAGACGTTTATCGATGACCCGTCAAAAATTGATCTCTTCGCACTTTCCACTTGTCGATACGCGTTATCGTACACTTTATTCTTACGGCTCACCGTGTATACGCGCGATCCAGAACACGTGAAACGTCGCACGATTCATGTACCATACAGGGTGTCCCAGGGTGACTTGACGAATCAGCCGTCAATGGTAGATTCCTGAGATTTCGAGACGAAAATTCAAATATGAAAATGTTGAGGAAGATTTTATGAAAATGTCCAAACCACTGTCGTATGGAAAACGCAATCGCCCTCAGAATCCTATTTTTTTATTTTATATTCATCCCTCTATCGATATCGATATTATCGCCCTACGTCTCTGAGCTTGGGAGAACGAAACCGCCGATTGGTAATCTTTAATCTCTTATAGCGCCGAAGCTACATCTTCCTTAACATTTTGGTGTTAAGATTTTCGTTTCCAAATGATGTCAGGAATCTACCATTAACGGCTGGCTCGTCAAGTCTGGGACACCCTGTATATACGCTTACAAGATCAGGAGAAATGAAAAAAGAAAAAGAGTCGACATTATTTCAAAATGATCTTCTTGAAACGACCTTTACCGCGAAATCTACTTACGGTAGACTTAACGACTTTGGCCGCGGTTAAAGCTATAGGTATGCCACGCAATTAATTCCCCAAGTTCCACCGGCAAGCAAATCGATGCAAATCCTTGAACAAAATCCCTTACGACGCACCGTCTTCCCTAATAACTCTCGTCCCGACGTTGGATTTGCCTATCCAAACTTTTGTTGAAAGGGTGACCGAGAATGACCCGCGTCGATGATTTAGATCATTTCGACAACACGAAAGATACCGGGTGCATGCCACTAAAATTTGTACGGCTGCTATAAATTGCATAAGCGAAAGACACGCGATTTCTATATAACAGGAGAGAATCGCGTGGATGATGCATGCGTTTTGGCAATTGATATTATTGCTTGTGCAATAATCGTCATTTACGTTTTGAATATATTTCCCTCTCGACAATAAACTAGAGAACAATAACATAAACATTAAACATCAGCGAGATATGCGCGCTAAAAATGATACACGCTTCGGAGATTTAAATTTAAATTTAAATGGTAATCAAAAAAATTAAATTTTAATGGTAATCAAATCAATTTTGTAAAAAACAAAAACAGTAAAAAGGTCAAGTGCTTGAATGTCAATGTATGTATTTTAATAAATTGTTTCGATCGATGTAAAAGAAACGCAGAGGAAAACGGCCGAAAGAAATTTCGTTCGTCAAATACCGCGACAAATACGATTATGAAAATTACAAAAGAGAAACTTTTACACCTTTCGTACCCGTCACGTGGTTTATGGTGACAATTTAAGTCGGGAACAGACGAATGAGAAAAAATTCCGTCGCATTCTAAAATAAAAATTTAAGCTACGAAATTTCTCTCGACGAGTGCGGCATTTTGTGTTTGAAAACTCGAAAAATCAACAAGCTTGCGTGAAACAAAGAGAAGGAGAGAAACGCTATTTGGAACGAAACGAAATTTACCTCGATAAAGGAAGACGCCGTATATATATCGCAAAACGGGACAGCTTTTCTTTCAAAAACACGCGAGGATAGGTAGCGAATTGAAGCGAGCAAACGGCAATAAACTCGATCGCGAAATCTCGTCTGTTTCCGTTTGTATGGAAAATTGACGGCAAATGCGAAGAGAACGTTTGAAATTCGTGGCATCGGCTAAAATAGCGAGCACTTCGGTTGCGAATTGTTTCGGTTTCCGTAAAGCCGAAGGGCGCGTTGTTTTACAAGTTTGAAGCGCGGCAAAATTTTGCTTAAACCTCGAGAAACTCGTCGCTTTCCGTCGCAAACAGGCAAAGACGTAGATAATTAAGGAAAATTGAATTATTGCCAGGGAGATACGCGAGACGCGCTCTGCTCGTAATGAAATAAAAGCGGAACGTTCCTCGGCGAGCTCTCTCGACTCTCGGCTCTCGGTCCCGAGCGTGGCACGATAGTCGTGGCTCGTGGCGTCCCTTTGACAAATTTACCTTGATGAAAGCCGGAACGCGCGACTCCGTGCACGACGCCGTCAAAGCCGACGAATATGAGAAGCGGGGCGAGGGCCGCGAACATCGGGACCGTCCTGGAACGCGCGGCATTCGCGCCGCGGGCCTGCAGCAGCGTCATTCCTAATCCCCCGATGCACTCGCGCGATTCAGGGACGCGCGATCGCGCTTCTCCCGGGGTGCAAGGTCCTATATCACCCGCGATCGCTCTCTTAGCACGCGATTGGTCCACGATTAGCGCACCTGGTGTCGCCTGGTGCGCCTTCCGCGCGCCTGGCACGTGCTCGGAGCAGCTCCCGGCCGAGCGTCTCCGCTCATCTCCGTGCGTGGACGCGCGGCCCGCGAGGCACTCTCTTCCCGACTGCACCAGTCGCGGTCGCGGGGTCGCGGAACGTGACGGCACGCATCGACGTGGCTCAAGGTCACCAACGCGCGCGCCAGAGAACCCGCCGAGAGAACGACGCTCCGATCTCTCCACGAGACGAGGCTCTCGCTCCCCTTGTCCGGCGCGAGGCTGGTCCTGGTCCCTCTGTCCCGGGCCGTAGACTGCTGCCTGGAAACCCTCGGAGTACGGAGTACGCTCGTGCCTCCTCCAACCTCCCCCGCCTTCGCCCCTCGAGCATCCCCGGCTCCGCGTTTCGTCCCGCGACTCGCCGCCGATAAACTTCCTACGGGCACCCTCCGCGACTCTCTCCCTCTCTCTCCCTCTCGCCCTCTTTGTCGCGCAGCCCGCACCAGGAACATCCAGCGGCGCTTGCGCCATCGTAACCGTGCCCTGATGCCCGGGCACTGCCGCTGCCACTGCTGCTGCTGCTGCTGCTGCCTCTGCCTCTGCCTCTACCTCTACCTCTGCTTCTGCCGCTTCCTCGTACCTTGGCGAATCTCTCCACGGCCCGTCTCTCTCGCCCGCTCGCCGGCTCTTCTTTCCTCTCCTTGTCTCGGTGGCCCTTTTCGCAGGGGAGACCCTACGCTGCTAGAGCTCCCGCGCGACCTCCCCTCTTTCTTTTTCGCTCTTTCGACAACTCGGCCTCTACGCTCCGAATTTCCTCTCTCCAGGACCGAACGCTCACCCTACTTCGCTTCTTCCTCGTCTATCCGGTCCTCGAAAGAGATCCCCGGCGATCGCCCCCGACAATCTCGCGATCCCGACAGCGAGAGATTTAAAAAGACCAGCTACCATTAGCCGATGCTATTGTTATTAGGGAAATGGCTCGGGTAACTCGTGGCTAATGTCGCGGCCGTCGAGTGTCTCTCCTCTCGCGATGCCCTCGCTCCGGGATACCGTTTAATTTTAGATATTGTTCCCGGAATTGCGAGGTACGCGAACCACGCGAGCAACCTATGTCGTCGCGAATAATACTCGCCGTAGATTAAGCGCTACCTAATTCGGTTTATTTTCTACGTGCTGATCGCTCGGGGTGTCCATCTCTCAGAAAAATGACTCCCACGACGATCAGCCGTAATCCTGTCGCACGTAATAAAGAAACAACTTTGTACGCCACCAATGGCATGGATATATAAATCCCCGCGATGGATATTACTTTTTTAGAATACCAAGTAAATTTCTCCCCGTACGTATAACGGAATACGCTCCTGCGGGAGAAATTAGCGTAACGTAGGAGGATGCGAAAAAATAAAGTTGGTGAAAAAAAAAGAAACAGTCGCAAAATACAAGCGTTTCACCTGCAAATTCATTATATGCGTCTCGCACGCGGGCCCGATAAAAAAAATATTCCTAAATACGAATACTTTATTTAACCCAATGTTTTATACGTGTCATACGGCGAATGCCACCGAGGCTAAATCCGCATGCGAAAAACGACGAATGGAGAAATGTCAGGGCGACAAAAATAATTTTAATCTTATTCCTATGTATTTGATCAGCGTGCCAAAATTTTACACGACAAAAATTTCGCGATCATTATTAACGCAATTCCGCTTCGAGGGATCCGCGACGAGAATAGTACGCGCGTTATCTATATCTATTTTTTAAAAGCAGAAAATATAGGTATCCCTTTGCAACGCGACGTTTAATGCAACGGCCCGGTGAAAATATTGCAACTGGAATTATACAAAACCGTAATAATTTTTCGAAAGAATTACAATACTCGCGCGCGAGTCTCCTTCTCCCGAAAGCTTTCCGTTCGTTACAAATTACGAAAACTAATAAATTTATTAAATATTTCATTAAATATTTTATTAAATATTTTTTACTAATAAATTTATTAAATATTTATTAAATAAATACCGATGACGAATTGGAAGCTTAATCTGTCGAAATTACAATAGAGAATAGCGGTGAATAATTATTATTCAGCTGTTGGAAAAAAATCACCGCATTACGATACATTAAAGATATACATATATACCCGTCATCCGGGATCCGTCGAATTATTTATTAATCCCTTATCATTTCGCGTTCGATCTCGTGCGGATCATCCGGCTTTATTCGGCATGGTTCGTTCGCGGTGGCGAATCCGTTGCGACAGAACTAGGCACACTCCAAGGGGATCACGACCTACCGGCAACGACCTACACCGAATCGTCGCTCGTGAGGAGGTGGAGAGCGACGAAGATGGAGGCGAATAAGAGGGTGGTTGAGACAGATCTCTGAGCTGACGCTACGAGAATAGCGGGAGGGCGAAGGGGGGAGGGGTGGAATTTAGAATGATGGAAGTGATTGTCCTGAAATTACGAGGTACGATCTCCGGCGTCGTTAGCAGATTCGAACGTCTGCGAGCGTGTCGTGGGAGCGAGAAAAAAAAAAGGAGCGAAGGGAGAGAGTAATTGACTTTGAGATTCGATTCGGCTCGATCGCGTAGGACAAATCGGAATTTCGAACCGTCAATATTTGCCGTATCGTTCTTTATCCTTTATTACCTCCTCCCCCCGTCATATCCGAAAATCTCGATGGATACTGAGTACACATATTGATTTTGTTTATAGAGACGCGCTTTATGCGTTTATCTCCGGCGCACGCGACGTATCAACAGGCAGATTTCGCGGTTGCCCGACGCCAAATTCCGAAGTCTCAAGGAACCGATGCTCGGGGATTTTCACGTATTGCAGGCGAATCAATTGCGACACACACACACATACGCGCTCTCGCAGCTTCGCCCGACGATTAATCGTAGCGTAACCCTAACTAATCACAGGCAGGTGACTCGTATTGCGCATTATTACTCACGAATAAACGTAATTCGGTGTGTCGTCGATATAGCCCATTACGTATATTAATGATCGCATATATTAGGAACGCACGTGGAGAGAGTTTGGCCAAACGAACGACGATAGTCTTTACGAATAAATATCTATCGCGCCTCGTGTAATATAACGACCAACTTTGTACGCGCGGGTCTCGGGTGATTGGTGTTAATGAGTCTTGTTACAATAAAGTTTTCGCTAAGATTACCCCGTGACTGGATAATTAAGGGTCGATGCTAGCGATTGCTCCGAAAATTACGACGAACGATAGTTGAATCCTACGAGATGTCGAGAGGTCGTCTTTCCCTGATTAACTTTTAATCACCTTAAATTAAGCCCTTTTGTGTATCGCTAGTCGCGCGCGTATATATCTCCTTATTGCATATTTACGAATTAATTTATTAACGTGCCGTATCGTAAAACATCGAAGAATAAGCCGATAAGCGGGATTAAAGAGCGTCGCGTTTTATGATTTATGCTTATTAGTGCCGCGAGTTTTGCGCGAGGGGAAGTCACGTGACTCGAATAAAATGAGCGCGGCACGGAAAGGTCGAATAAAAAACGTTAATAAGCTTACGGGATAAACATAATACCCGTTTCATTAGAACGCCACAAAGTAAAGCCGCGCGCGTGTTCGAATATATTCGAAATATATTTCTCTTAAATATCGCATAACTCGCGAGTCGCGCGTAGATATTTTCAGAGAAATATTTCAAATAAAACAAAAGGGAAAAAGCGAAAATGTGGGCGTCGAATGTTTCTCCTTTATGCAACGGGAAATGGTTTCGGGTTACGCGCACATGTGATAAACGTTTCCGTCGTACTTCTGGCAGCAACGCGGTCGCGTCTAGCCGCTGTAAAAGCGATTGTATATTCCAGCGATATTTCGGTCGTGTAATTAACAGATGAAGCCGCTGCAGTTAATTGTGAAAGCAATTAATAGCGGGAGTCACGTATCACGGATAAACCGAGTAGCTGATTAACCTCGTCCGGAGAGTCTCGTTTCTAACCGATCAAGAACTAGAGATTATCGAAGGTACGAAAAAAAAACATTTCATTACCGAGCTCTAATTCTCATCTCTGCGTAATATATGCGATGGACGCGGCAATCTGTACCTGCTTGTGAATATCAGACGACAAGAGGTTCGAAATTGCTGCCTTATGACTTTTCATTTCTTGGATTTATTCCTTTTCCTTCTCTCTCTCCCTCTCTCTCTCTTTTGATTAATGTCTTATTTATACATTTTAGAAACGAAAATAAATATAACGGAAAACGTTTTCCCGGTAGACTACTTACAATCGATACATTGCGAAAATAGTCTGCCCAGATAAAAGTTGATTCAGTTCTATTCCGAGTTCCTGCGAGAAACGATCTACGCGTATACTACTTTTTTTCTTAATTAATTCCTCGGTCGCTATTCGAACTTTTGCAGGGATTCAGATTGCGCGCCCGAGAATGCTGAATCTAGATACGATACGAACGGAACGTAATTGCGCTGTGCAAAAAAAAAAAAAGAGACGACAACTTTTGCGGAGCATCAGTGATATGATATTAATAATTCATAAGACGCCGGTGTGTGATTTCCGCGGAAATCGAGGAATTTGTGATAGTTTTGCAAAGTTGATTCGTGTTAATCTGCTCGTATGTGAAGCGTACTTGGCACATTTTCGTAAGAGCGAAGAAAGAGCTAAATGATTAATACATTTTGTCTAGCAATGTTACCGAGTCTCTGACTAATTTCACAAAGCTTTGACCCGAATAGCGAGTCAGCGCAAGAAGTTCGTTATACGCGACATTTTAAATAACGTTGTGATTCGCGTCATTGTATCAGAGAGAAGAAACATAATAGATTTAAAAGATCCTCTCGAATTATTCTCGCGCGGTTTTCTCTTTCACATCGGAGTCGTAATGGCACCTCGGAGAAGAAACAGAAATGTTATGCTTCAATTGATAATCATTGATCGGCGACTCTAATTGTGGAAAAAAAGAAAAAAGAGAAAAAAGAAAAAGTCAATCAACATTCACGGGACGTTGCGCGAGCAGTAAAATGAAAACGAGATTTGCGTAAGCGAGCAAGGAAGTATACGCGACGTATATGGCTTAAAGCGAACTCTCCTTCCCGATAGTTAATTATTGGCGGGCAGAACTGATTTGCAAGTACGTCGTTTATAATCCACTTAAGCTCTAATCGAATCCTGGCTAGTCTCGGGGACAACGGATAGACGTGGCTTCCCCATAGTCGACGTAGGTCGCATAGTCGATCCTCGGCATTGCTCGTAATTACGCGCTCCGTTTACAATCTCTGTGCGTTAGACGCGTGCATTATACGCGAGAGATGTTGCAAAAGCGATAGACACTTTAGAAAAAGAAATAAAGTCTCTATTTTTTACTCAATAAACACATATCATGTGTAGA